TGTGTGTGCAGTGCAGAGTGTGTGCAGTGCAGTGTGTGTGCAATGTGTTTGTGTGCAGTGTGTGTGCAGTTTGTGCATTGTGTGCTGGGGAGCTTTCAGCTGTGAGCAGCACGGAGCGAAGGAGGGGACACATGAAATGGGTGCCTCTGCCCCACAAGTGAGAGCAGTTTGTGTCATGTGGGGCCGATGGGCAGCGAGGTGCTGCAGGTCTGGGGCCGCTGTGCCTGGTGGGCGCTGAGCTCACTGCCAGCTGGTTGGACTCAGCGTGGATCCTTTGCTGTGAGCGGTGGTGGAGGTGGCAGAGGCGGTGCAGCGGCACCTTGGGGCTGTGCGTCATCGTCTGCCCTGCAGCGCTGAGCCCTGCCAGCCCCGAGGGGCTCCGAGCTTTGGGCTCAGCTTCCCCAGCTCCGCTCTGCCTTCAGGCCCTCGGATGCTGTGAGCAGACGCAGCTCTGCTCGCTTCGCGTCCCTCACGGCGGTTTTTCTTTGCAGACCAATCCCAACTACAGCCAGGAGAAGAACCGCTGCGAATACCTCCACAACAAACTGGCCCACATCAAAAAACTGATAGCAGAGTACGACCAGCAGCAGTTCTGAGCGGTGGGAGGCGCCGTGCGGGGCTGCAGCAGGCCGCCATCCCTTCAGTGCCACTCGGCCCCGCTCAGAGACGAGCATCAGTTCTCCGTGGCTGAAGAATTTGGGGATTGCGGACGGGGGCGCGCGGCTGCTCTGCTTTTGGCCTCTCCGAACGCCGGAACGCAACCGATGGAGCTCTGCTTATTTCGAGACGCTTAAGGGAAATAAATCGCCTACAGCCACCGAAGCTCCCAAAGGTTAAAAATCAGTAGTTTTCACGGATTAAAGTTTGGCATGAAGTCCGATCGCCCCTCTGGGTCGCAGCCGCTCCTTCCGACGGCGAGGAGCTGCGATGCTGCTGGGGTCCCCGTGGCACCTGCGACTGTTCCTGTTGTGAGCTGTGTGCTCCCAGCACCCAGAACCACCCTGCTCTGTGCTGCCGTGGCTGCGTGGGGACGGACGGACAGACAGACAGACAGACAGGCGGCCGCGGGGCTCTGTGTGCCCCCTCCCCCCCCTGCAGCCCAGCCATGGCGCTGCTGGGCCGCGTCCCGCCGCCCGCCTTTGACTTTTGTAGTTTTGTACCCAGGGCGGCCGATTTTACGACTCGCCGATGAGACTGTGGTCTATTTTTGTATTTAAAACAAACAAACAAAAACGAACGAAAAGGAACAGCAAAAAAAAAAAAAAAGAAAAGAAAAAAAGAAAAAAAAAAGAAAAAATGGCAAAACAAACCAACAGCCACCAACCAACCAAACCCCGACCATCTGCATCTGCAACTGTGCCTCCCTTCTTTCAGGCCCGGCGTTTCCAAGCCTTCCCCCCGTGCTGAGGCGCTGTGGAGGAGCTGTGGGGCTGAGCTGCAGCGTGGGAGCCGTGGGGCAGCGCTTTCCCAGTGGGGCGCCTCCCCCCGGCTCCTCCCCCGGCCTTTCTTTCTTTTCTGCTTTTTCTTTCTCTTTTTTTTCTTCCTTTAATTTGGACTCTTCGGGGCGCCAGGAAGATGCCAAACAGCACAAAGGTGCCCTTTGAATGCCGCCGTTCCTTTCGGCCCCATCCGTCCCACAGCGCCTTCGGCCCCGGGGGGGAGCAAAGGAGGAAAGCTCTGCTTTCCCTCTGCAGCTCTTCCCTGTTTTCCCACCTCCTCCCATTCCTAAACATCCAAACGGGTCCAGCTGCTGGATGAAACCCAGTGGTAACAAAATTCCCTTCTGCTTGGATGCTTTGTGATGCTCGCGGTGCCCCAGGGGGGGAGCAGCACCCCAACCCTCCCCAGCGCCCCCAACCAACCCACCTCAGTGTCCCCAACCAACCCCAACCAACCCCAACACCCCCAACCAACCCTACACCCCCAGCCCCCCAACCCTCCCCGCCACATCCCAGCACCGGGGCCGATTCCTCCATGCCGACACTTCTCCTCCCTCCCAGTTGCAGTGGGGGTGGTTGGGGGTTGGTTTTGTTTGGGTTTTTGTTGTTGTTTTTCTTTTTGGCTTCTCGGGGGGGTGGGGGTGGGGGTGGGGATAGAGATGGATCCCTGATCTTTATACACCCGCTATGAGATATTTTTGCAAACAGAGTTGTATACAGAGATGTATGGTGTCCATTGACAATGTATATTCTGGAACTTCTACAAAAGAAAAAAGAAAAAGGCAAAAAAAAAAAAAAAAAGGAATATAAAAACGGAAAATATTTAATGAGTATCCAAACTGTGAGACCCAATTAGCAGCCAACGACTTCTCTGCTTCACTTTTCTTTCGGACTGCGTCGAGGGCCGTAGTCGGATCTGCCTTTTTGTTCTCCCTTGTAGAGATGAGGAAGTTAGGCCAAGGCCAACCCCGTGCTTTTTGGGTGAATAGCAGCCAGTTTAGGTGATTAAGTATGATCTTAACTTATTGATACTGTGTTTTACTTTGTAATATTGTACTGTGGATAAAACTATATTGAGCCATGGAGTTGGAGTTTACAAAAACGAAGCTTTTCACTTTGCCAAAACGTTACGACTTAAAGGCGGCGTAGTCTTCAGCTTTCCTAATCTTTTCTTAAGAGCTCTGGTGTCTTTTTTGTACACTAAAAAAGCTGAATGCTGATTTTGCAACATATAATAAATTCACTGTATTGGGAAACGATGCGAACAATGCGGGCCCATCTTTCATTCCAAACCTGGAAGGGGGAAATGGTGCGGGCTGGGAAAAAGCAAGGCGGCGCTGCTGGGGGGAGGCTGGGCTCGGGGCGCAGAGCTGCGCTGCCTTTGGTGGGGCTGCAGCAGCGCCAGGAGCGCAGGCCGCCCTGCGGTGCACGGAGGGGCTCCGGCGGCCGCTCTGGGCTCCCCGCAGCCGGGTTTGGGCTTCGGGGCCGGGAGCGGCGCAGCGCCGCCCTGCGCCCACCGCGGGGTCTCCGCTTCGCGGCCCGAACTCCTCCGCCTCCGGAGCGGCGCGGGGATCGCAGGCGGGGCCGAGCGGTGCCGCATCCCGCGCTGAGCGGCTCCAGGTGGGGGCAGAGCCGCCCTCGACGCCCCCGCCCGTCGCTGCGTTCCCGTCCGTCACCCGAGGACGCCGTCGATCCCCGGCCACGTGCGGGTTTCCTCGCTCCGATCGCGGGCTTCCGTCCCCTCCCGGTGTCCCCGGGCGCCTCCTCCGCACCCCCGGCAGCCGCAGACGGGGTCGGGCAGAGCGCTAATGAACTCCGAGTGGAAATTTACTGCGTTCCTTCCGTGCCAACGCCGGGAGGATCGCGGCAGCTTCCCGCTTCTGTGCGCCCGTCGGTGGGCGGCCGCGGTCACGGGGACGCGGGGAACCCCGCGGTGCCGCCCCGAGGCGGTGCGGTCGTTTCCCCCGCGGCGGCTCCGTGTCGCGCCCGGTGCGGGCACAGCGCTGCGGGCCGCTCCGTCTGCGGGGCTGAGCGCCTTTCCCGGCGGCCGGAGGAAGTTGGTTAGGATAACCGGATAAGTGCCCCAGATCCCCCCCACCACAACCCCGGCACGCTCGGATGGAGCCGGTCTGTCTGTCCGTCCGTCCCTTCGCACGCGTCCATCCGCCCTCAGGTGCGCGGGTCCTGGAAGGTCACAGCAAAAGGACGCGGGGACGGGGATGGGGACGGCAAAGGGGTGCGGAGGGAAGCATCGCACGCGGAGGGAACGAAACCCGACGGGAAAGGACCGCGAGGACCGCATCCCAGAGGGCACGGAACGGGACCGGAGCCCTCGCGGGGGGGGGGTCGTGGGACGGGGGTCGCGGTGCCATTGCTGCGGGGCCGTGCCGGTCGCCATGGCTGCACAGCGTTGGGTCCCCGCCAGCCCCGAGCTGCGAGCGGAGGCGTTGGGCACGGAGCCCACGGTGCGAGGGAACAGCGCGGCGTGGGAGGGGTGGGAAGGAACAATGGTGGGAGTTGTGGGAGGGGGGCGAAAGAAAAAAAAAAAAAGAAGAAGGAAAGCAGTGGAAAAATACCAGTTCTCGGCCCCTGGCAGCGCTGCCCGGACCCTCCCCGCCCGATGGATTATTGTACAAAGAAATGTTATTTTTGTTTCAATAATTTGCTGAGGCGCTGGAATTCCAACGCGGGGTTCGTTTTGTCCTCTGAGGGAGCATTGTTCCTCCGACGCCCGAGGTCTGGACGGGGCCTTCGGGGCCGCCCGCATCCCCCTCTCCCGGAGGTGTCCCCCCGTCCCGGCCGTGTTTCCCCCTCCCCCCCCACGTCCCGCAGCCCCGACGCGGCCGCTCCCCGCGCGCTCTGCCCGCTGCTCCCGGTGGTCCCCATCCCCGCTCGCCCCCGCGGAGCCGCAGCCCGGGGCGGGGGGTGGGCGGCGGTCGAGCTGTCCTCACGCCTCGCGGGGAGCGCGGGTGGGGGAGGACGGAGCGCCGGGGGGCCTCGGGGCGTCGCTCCGCTCCGGGGGATGCTTTGACACGGATTCTTCCCATTGAAACGGGAACCGGGACCTCCTCGCCGTCCCGCCGCTCGTCCGTCGGTGACCGGGACCGAGCGATGCAGTGCCGCGGGGTGTCCCCGCGGGGCTCCGGGATGGCCGAGCCGGGGGCCGCGGGGGGGCACGGGGGGCGGGAGCTCCGGTTCGCGGTGCCCGGGCGCGGTGGCACCGTGGGAGCGGCACCGTGGGAAGGCGCCGGGCCCCCCCGCCGCTCCGGAAGCCGCCGGCGCGGGGCAGTGAATGGGCGGAAGGCAGCGGCGGGACCCCCCGGCCCCGGTGCCACTTCCCCTTCCCGGGTCAACGGCCGCTTTCCCTCCTGGAGGAGACCCGGCCCGGCCCGTCCGCTCCCAGCGCCGGTGAGAGCCGGGGCGGGGGGGGGGGGGGGAGAACGCACCGGGCCGGGGGGCTGAGCGGGGGGTCCCCGTCCGGAGTCGCGTTCGGTGTCCCCTCTCGAACCCCCGGTACCGGGGCACGTGCGGGCGGGGGCTGCGGGGGGGGATCCGGCGCCGATGGAAAGTTTTGGGCTGGGCGGGGCCAGGGGGGGCGGGCGCTGGGAGCCGCTTAAGGGCGGGAGCGGAGGGGGAGCCCCGGCCGCGCTCACATCCCCGCGGGGCAGCGCCGGCAGCCGCCCGGCTCCAGGTGAGTGAGGGGGAGGCGGGGGGGGGGGAACTCCGCGTATCCGTCTGTCCCCCCTCGCGATGTCGGCCCCGCGATCCGCGTCCCCCCGGCGGCCGCTCTCGTGCCGTCCCCGCGGGCCCCGCAGCGCCCGCTGCCCCCGTGGGAGCGGAGACCGCGCTGCCCCCCCGCTGCCGCCCGCGTACCCGGCGCCCCCCCCCGCCTGGCGGTGTCCCGGGCTCGGGGTCGGCCCCGTCGTTCCTCGCCGTGTCCCAGCGGCGGGGGTCGCGTTTTCTCCCATCCCAGCAGCGGGAACAATGGCAGAGCCCTTCGTGGTGGAGAGCCCCGACGTCGCGTACGGCAAAGACTTCATCGAGGCGCAGTACACGTACAGCACCGCGCACGTCTGCAGGGAGGGCGGTGTCACCAAGGTAGGGGACGCGGGGACACCCTCGGATGGCATCGCCGGGCCGCCCCGCCGGGTGCCGCCGTCCCGACCGCCCCCCCCCCCCTTTGCCGCAGGTCCGGCCCTGCTCCACGCGCTTCACCTTCCGCACGGCGCGGCACGTCCCCCGCCTGGGGCTGATGCTGGTGGGCTGGGGGGGCAACAACGGCACCACGGTGACGGCGGCCGTGTTGGCCAATCGCCTGGGGCTGTCCTGGATGACCAAAACCGGCCGCAAGGTGGGTGTGGGGTGAGGGGTGAGGGGGCAGCCCTGCCGGCTCCCCTCGTTTTGGGGGGGTGGAGGGGGGAGGGGGGGTTGGGGGATGTTGGGCTCTTTGGAGGTCGCTCACCCTTGCGTTCTGCCCCCCACCTCTAGAAAGCCAACTACTACGGCTCGCTGCTGCAGGCCTCCACCGTATGCCTGGGTGCCGGCCCCACCGGTGATGTCTACGTGCCATTCCGGGATCTGCTGCCCATGGTGCACCCCAACGACATCGTCTTTGATGGTAGGAGGGGCGCTGGGGTGGGCGGGGGGGAGGGGGCCGCGCACTGAGTGTGACCCCATCCCGCAGGGTGGGACATCTCCTCTCTGAACCTGGCCGAGGCCATGCGGCGCGCCGAGGTGCTGGACTGGGCGCTGCAGGAGCAGCTGTGGCCGCACATGGAGCAGATGAAGCCCCGACCTTCCATCTACATCCCCGAGTTCATCGCCGCCAACCAGGAGGAGCGGGCGGACAACGTGCTGCGGGGCTCCAAGGCTGAGCAGGTGCTGGGGGTGAGGGGTGGGGGCACACGGGGACGGCGGGGGGACGCCACGATGACCTGTCTGCGTCCCCATCCCTGCAGGTGGAGCAGATCCGCAGGGACATCCGGGAGTTCAGGGCGAGCAGCGGGGTGGACAAAGTCATCGTGCTGTGGACGGCCAACACCGAGCGCTTCTGCGATGTGGTGCCAGGGCTGAACGACAGCGCTGACAACCTGCTGCGGGCCATCGAGGTGAGGGGAAGGGGGGGTGGGGGACGTGGAGGGGCTGTGCTGCAGTGCTGAGCCCTCGGTGTCCCCGCAGCGAGGCCTGGAGGTGTCCCCATCCACGCTGTTCGCCGTGGCCAGCATCCTGGAGGGCTGCGCCTACATCAACGGGTCGCCCCAAAACACCTTCGTGCCGGGCGCCGTGGAGTTGGCAGCTCAGCGCCGCGTCTTCATCTGCGGGGACGACTTCAAATCGGGGCAGACGAAGCTGAAGTCGGTGCTGGTGGATTTCCTGGTGGGCGCCGGGCTGAAGGTGCGTTGGGACGTGGAGCCGGGTTGACCTGTCCACCACTGATCCGACTCGATGGTTGCACGGTTCCCTGTTGTACCCTTTGCCCCCCCCCCCAGCCCAGGTCCATCGTCAGCTACAACCACCTGGGGAACAACGATGGGAAGAACCTCTCAGCGCCGCAGCAGTTCCGCTCCAAGGAGATCTCCAAGAGCAACGTGGTGGATGACACAGTGCAGGCCAACCCGGTGCTGTACGGCCCGCAGGACAAACCCGACCACTGCGTGAGTGAGCTGTGGGGGGAAGGGGGGGCGCAGAAGGAGGGGTCTGCAGTGGGGGCCGGGTGCTGACGGGGGTCCCTGTGCAGGTGGTGATCAAATACGTGCCCTACGTGGGGGACAGCAAGCGAGCGCTGGACGAATACACCTCAGAGATCATGATGGGAGGCACCAACACCATCGTCATCCACAACACGTGTGAGGTGCGGGGCTGTGGGGAGGGGGGGGGCAGGGGGTGCAGCCCTACACCGGCCCCTCCCCATCCCCCCCCCCCCCGCTCTTCCCCCACCCTCAGGACTCATTGCTGGCCAGCCCCATCATCCTGGACTTGGCCATCCTGACCGAGCTTTGCCAGCGCATCACCTTCTGCACCGACAGCGACCCCGAGTTCCAGAGCTTCCACAGCGTCCTCTCCATCGTCGCCTTCCTCTGCAAAGCCCCCCTGGTGCCCGATGGGACCCCCGTCGTCAATGCGCTCTTCCGTCAGCGCAGCTGCATTGAGAACATCCTGAGGTACCCGTGGGGGGGTCCTGAAGGAGGGGGGAGGGGGGGGGCTGTGGTGACCCACAGTGT